TTGACTCTAAATGTGTTTTCACTATATTAGGTCAAACTCTTTTTTATCTCAAATTGTGTGATTCACCACTTTCACTACAAGTGGAGATACTTTAATATGGACATAAAAAAACACTCTGTACAAACATGTAGAGCAATTGTGATTGACGACATTAAAGAATTATGTTGTTTTTCACTTTTCTGAAAATCAATGTTAAAGCACATACATAGTTAGGGTCAAGCATTGACAATATGTTGAGTAATTTTTTCTGTTTTCATATTCTTGGTATGGAATGTCATAATGGGAGGAAGTTAGGTCCTCTTTCAACTGAGAACCCTTTGTAAGGAAATTTATTTCAGATCAACTTTAGTGATCTTTAGCTGGACTTACAGTTAGAACAGTGAGACCCTACCTTTGAAGAAAATATTTCCATGTGTGTGAGTGTGGAAAATTGCGAGAGAGTATGAAGGTTGGTGTATGCGGTGGTGGACATGATTGCTTGTTTGTGCCAATTTGTGCAATGTGTCCTTTACAGTATTGATATTGGTGCCTGTACATAGTTACAATGGATATCCTGTTTTGTTACTGTGTAAAGTGCACAGGGGCCATGAATTTACACTTGTTTTAATTTTGTTATTATCATTTCTATTAATTTATTATTGGCTTTTTAAAACTGTTTTGAAACATATAGTAAGTGATATTATGACCATTAGTTTTTCATTGTAAACTTTTGTGAAAGCATACAAGTACCTGAGAGGGTTAAAAACAATTTTGATATGTGTATATTCTATATCTCCTTTCTAGTCTTTTGAAGGACATTTGCTGTGTGAAACAGAGGAGCAAAATTTGATTTTTATGTCGTGATAAGGTACTTTTGGAAAGGCTTAGTTCTCAACTTTACTTTATTTTCCTTTATGCATTTAAAGTATTTCTGCAGACCTATTATGTCTATCCTGCACAGGATTTGCTAAAGGGGAATAGACATTATTGATTACATGCACATGCCCAGTGCAGTTCTTCCTTATTATATTCAGATGCTCCTGAAGAAATGAAATCTATGAATTGTTGAGCTGCACGAAAACAGGAAAATTGTATTCTTATGTTTATTCATGAAATGGTTTTAAATTGTTCAATGCTTTCTATTGACTCTTAGTTTTACACTTTCCCTTTAAAGATGATTATATTCATTTTGCTTTCAGGCTACCCTTCGCAGAGAATTGATGTCTCTACATGAAATGCTTGAAGAGAAAGGGAGGGTTGTACTACCATATAATCCCAGTGTTGAAGTCATAGGATTAGACATGAAGGTAAAGTTCTGTTCAGTACCTTTACTGCTTTTGTGACAGATTCTTGACCGTCACATGCTGTTAGACCATACTATTTTGTTTGGACATTTTTCATTTGGATAAAGATTTTTTTTTGCCTGTGTGATAACTGTCTGTGTTTTGATTGTGATATTTAGTGAACTAAAGTTTTGAAGTCTTTATTGGTCTTTATTGAGGTTAGTACTTGTTTTTCAGGTAATTGATGTGAATATTTTCTCAGTGTCTTTTTTTAAAGGAACCGAGTATGCCCCACTTTTGAAGTGCGATGTTTCCTCAAATTTGCATAATAAAGACTGAAAAATTGCTGCAGTTACACTGGTTTTACCAATGGAAGAGAACTACTTGAGTGACATAGTCCTTTCCAGCCAAATCAAGTCTCATAACTATTTTTGTATACTTCTTTTCCAAGTTTTTCAAGATTTTTCATATTTATGGAAATGTGTTATATCCATGAGTAAGTCATTTTTCTTCTCCAGTCTTGCTCCTACTTCACATCAAATGCGTTCCCCTTGAAACTTGTCTTCAAAAACTCCAACCCAAAAGCAGATTCTCATTACGTGATTTATAAGGTGAGTATTGTTGATGTAGGATATACTAATGTAGTTCACATCTAGATTCAGTATCTTCCATGTACTGAATAGGTTAAATTACTCAATGAGTTAAAATACCGAATGAGTAAAAATACTGAATGAGTTTAACCCTTAGAGTCTTTCCCTTCTGCCTGGGCTCGTGAGCAATATATTACTAACATTCTTAAGATCATCAGAATCACTTTCCATGCCCCACTCAGGGTAATCCTCGTCATTACCAGCATCTAATTCAGAAAGATCTTCAAAATAATCAATAACATCCTGTGTAGTAAACATAATTTTCCTTGTGCGTTTTGTCCCAGGCTGGCTGGGTTGGAGATATGGTCTCACTCACCGGTGTACCGTTGGCTAGGCATGTGGACAGTTTCACGCGCCACCAGTCTGCCGGTGGCAAGGGCTCAAAGGGTAATTAAACACTGAATGAGTTAAAGAACTGAATGAGTTAAAGTACACTCCATTTTCTTGTCTGAGTCAGGTGGGAGATGACCTTCGTCAGGACATGCTGACCTTGCAGATGATCCGGATCATGGACACATTGTGGCTGCAGCAGGGCCTGGACCTGAAGATGATCACCTTTGCCTGTCTGGCCACTGGACCCAAGAAAGGTAATGCGAGCAGGGTGTTGAGCTTGATTCGCTCTTGAATCGCAAATATCTCTACTTCTGTTCAAGATAAAAGGGGTTGATTTGTTTTCATCAAAGTCAAGACAAATTAACAAGTTTAAAGATATCAATAAGCTCATATGCCGAAAAGTTGACAAGCTTCAGATTCCACTGCATTACGGCACATGTAGACAAGTGAAATTGCTTGCTAAGCAGCTAGATGTCTTGCTTAGTGGCCCTTTCTAGGAGTCTAACTTATAAAGTGAGTAAGTTCCTGGAGACATGTAATATTATATATATTATGTTTGAAGACAAATGTATGCAGTCATGAAAAATTAATTTCTAAAAAATTGTTTATTATGGACTCCATCTTAGATACACATGGATGCCAATAGCTCAAGTGGTTTTGTGATGCGAGTTACCCTTGTTCAAACCTCTGGCGGTGCCTTCTTGAACATGGGTTGTATGGAAAGTTTTCATGACGCTCCACCCACTTGGCCTAGTCCTATTGGAGATGGATGATAATTTTATGATCGTACCAAGTAAAATGACCTGATAGTGTTCTTGAAGCGTTAAATCCATACCATATCTACTCAGAAACTCATTTAGATGTATCATTATGTTTGGGGTAATCCATATTGGCCTTTGCTTGCAGAAGACAGGAATCGGATGGGGGGAAGTTGTTTCTATCAGTGTCTAAATCTTTCTGCTGTATTCCACTATTCACGTGTTGTCCTTGACAGACTGGGTCGAAGTGGCCTGCTTTTTAAATGATCTAGATTGTGTCAATGGGGGCGGGAAACATTTACAGTAAATCATTCACACGTGTGCTTTCTCTTCTCTGTTTTGATTCCAGGCGTCATTGAGTTGATTACAGAGTCTGATACACTGAGGAAGATCCAGGTATCTTGTGGTGTCACAGGGTCCTTCAAGGACAGACCCATCAAGGAGTGGCTGCAGAAGCACAACCCGACTGAACTGGAGTACAAAAAGGTTTGAGCCCTAGCTTGGAGGTTAAGAGTTTTGGAAAGCGCTCGCTTTTAACTTTTATGTGGTTTCTCTTGTCAATAATAACTTTCTAACTCCTGACAATATTAGATGTCTCTCCCACATCAATGGCATACTGAAGTACTGTCTTTTTTGCTTTTCATGTTCATTTTAGAGGCCTGTCTGAGTTGTGCGTATGAAGGCAACATTATTTCAAAGTTTGTTGAATCTGTCTTTACAATGTTAGGTTATTTTAAGTGTCTGAAAGCAGATGTAAGGAAAATAACTCTGAGCATGAAGTAGGGCAGGAACTATCCTTTCTACAATGGTTACTGATGTCCTTTTTGTTTGTTTATATGTTAACCTTTCATTGTTACTGTTGCTTCAGCATTTGAGGTTTTATCGTATAGTACTGTGGTGCTTTGTTATTTTAAAATAAATCTTTGAGGTGTCAAAATTTATCATTTTTTATCTACTAAGGATGGCAGGTCTTTAGGCTGTCTGTAACAAAACATATCACATGACTCTCTGACTTGACCATCTTGTTTAGGCATTCAAAACTATTTATTTATAAGTTTTCTTAATGATGTGAAGTTAAAGCCCTTTCCTACACTGAGGTAATAGAAAATGTATGCTTCAAACGTCTCTCACATTTGCGTCTGCAGTGAATGGGAATGTACACACACTGTTATAAAACAAAATTTCTCCACAATATGAAAGAAGATATATTTTCTTTTCTATTTTCTTTTCGTTTTTTTTTTTCTTCATGGGTTTCCATCAATGATATTTCCAGCTGGTTTATTTTGACTCCTTTTCTTTTTGTCTTATTTTTCACATTTATTATCCCAGCAGAAAGCTACAGTTCCTGTACTAATTAGCTTCAATTTTAGTAGAATAGGTTTTTTTGTCTTTTCTTCCTCAGGCAGTAGAAAACTTCACGTACTCGTGTGCTGGTTACTGTGTGGCCACCTATGTGCTCGGCGTCGGTGACCGCCACAACGACAACATCATGCTGAAGCAGTCGGGTCACATGTTCCACATTGACTTTAGCAAGTTCCTCGGAGATGCGCAGATGTTTGGCAGCTTCAAGAGGTGAAGGGACTAACTGGTTTTTAAAAATATTTGTTTGCCTTCTTTTAGGACTCGAACACGAGTGTAGTAATCTGTTTTTTTCTTTAGTGTGAATATATCCTAGGGTAGCAGCACAACTAGAGTAACTCTGGTTTTTCAAAGTTAAAAGGAGAAGCAAAAATTAATTTTTCACCACTATATCCATTGAAAACACCTGGAATTTCGATTAAAAGTGTATTTTCACAAAATAATGGCAGGACTCTGAGGTTTTTACAGAGCATGCTCCCCTTCCAATACAAAAAGCAGCATTTAAAAGCAACTGCAGAGCAACAATTAAAAAAACAAAACATTCATAACGTAGGAGTTGAACTGTAAACGGTATACATCAATTAATGTTCCTCATCAAGGAAGATAATGTCTTTTTCCTGTCACTTAAAGATAACATCTTTTTCTTTCTTCTGCCATCAGGATAGCCACTGATCTTTTCTCCTCTCTTGTTTTTCCTGTAGAGATCGAGTTCCTTTTGTCCTAACTTCGGACATGGCCTATGTGATCAACGATGGAGGTCGTCAGGGACACAAGTTCCAGCATTTTGTGGACCTGTGCTGCCAGGCATTCAATATTCTACGCAAGCATGCAGACTTGTTTAGGAGTCTTTTTATTTTGGTGAGCAACTTTTTTTTCTCCATTGTTTATTTTCTAAAATATATCAATAGAATATATGAATTGGGGTCATAATGAATGAAATAAGAAGGTAGTAATGATAAATATAAGTTAAATTTATGAAATACAATTCCTCCAAGAAAGGGCTCCCCCCCACCCCACACCTCTCTCTCTCTCTCTCTCCCCCTCTCCCTCTGGCAAAAAGAAACACTCAGAAATGGCTGTTTTAATCTGGTGATCATTTTTTGAAAGTTGGTGTGGGGAGGGGGGCTTTTGTTGTAGAGAGGGCGCTAGTATAAAAGAAAGGGAATAGATTAAGTACAAATGATTTAGAACAACCAAGTTCTTTTTGTTTTCTCGTTTCCCCTCTTTCAGTTCTGTTTTATTTTCATTTACTTTAGGGGCTTCTGTAGGAAGGGGAAAATGCACATGTTTTTGATAAACTGAGATTATTAGAGGAGACATTTGCATGTAATTAAGCTTACACTTCTTAAAGCTCATATTTTGTTGTTTTGGGTTACGTGCTGCCCTTGAAATAATGGTAACCGATATGTCCAAGGGAGTTTGTCTTTACTCATTTTTTAAGTGTTTATTATTTGTTTGTGTGTTGACTTAATGCACACCAGTTTTTAGGTTTGCTTGCTTGATATAGGTTGTACTATTTGTGGTAATTCCTATGAATTTAGACTAACCCACTACTGTGACGTGCTTGCTCATGAGACAGGCTTAAGTTTAAGGGTTGAATTAGAAGGGGCCTTGTTTGTTCTCTTTTGATTTTCTTGTTTTATCTTTCTGTCTTTCTTTTTTTCCCAAGCTCTAAATGATGTCTTTGGTATTGACGTGCTTCTTTATACTTGCCAGAAAAAAAGCACTGATGTTTTTGTGTTGGTTTTAACCAAAATTATTTCTATTTGGCAGATGGCTCGATCAGGCATCCCCGGAGTGACGGAGCGTGCGGTCCAGTACGTCCAGAACACATTGTTACCAGGTCAGACTGATGCCCAGGCCACAGCCACCTTCACTAGGTAACTTAGCTCAAACTTGTCTCTGTGTGGCATCAGTGGCCTAGTAGTTATGCTCTTAGATTCACAAATGTAAGATTGTGGGTTCATGTCCCATCAGAGGCCCAACATTGTGTCCTAGGGAAAGGCACTTTCCTGGAATTTTCCTCAGCTATAGACAGTGAAAAATCTTATCAGTTTGTTAGTGTCTGAGCACTTGATCAGCTGCTTGCACTGCATGTTTCCATGGAAGCGGAGAATGTTTCCGAGTATTCTAGGGTCTGCTGGGACAATATTATAGATTGAAAAGCACATAGAAATTGCTATCGAGCTGAGATATGCACGATTGATATGTTATTTACAATAATTATTATAGATATTGTTTGTTCTCTCATGGACATTATCCCAAACACGTAGTCCTTTCTGTTGATTTTGTGAGGGTCCTACTTTATGTCTTTCCCCTTTGTTGTTTCTGTTTGTCTTTTTTTTTCCGTGCTCTAAATGACTGCTTCTGTGTTGATATGCTTCTGTTCTCTAGAAGAAACAGTCACATGTGGGTGGTCGGTGATTGCTCTGGTGTGGCTTACTCCTTCTTTCCTATCGAACACCTATTGTCCTTATATCTCCCTAATGCTGCGGTTGGTTGGAGGGCGCCACTTGTTGGTCCTACTTCTTTAGTTTCACTCTGTTGTTCCTGTCTATCTGTCTTACTTTTTCCCAGCCCTAAATGACCATTATTGTTTGGATGTACTTCTCTTTACTCAAACAAACAATCTCCTTTTTTTTGTTTGTTACTCTCTTGTAATACCTCTAATCTTCGGCACTTATATGACTTAATTGTGGTGCAAGTACCGTAAAATTCTTACTATAACAAACAATCTCATAATTGATTTTGTATGTGCCCTATTTTCACAGGATGATTGAAGAAAGCATGAAGTCGGTGTTCACACAGTTCAACTTTTTCTTCCACAACCTGGCCCAGCTCAAGTTCTCTAGTCACACCGAGGGTGCTCTGCTGTCATTTGTACCCAAAGTCTACAGGTGGGGTATAAGTCTATACATAGTGACTAATTGAGAGTAGAAGTGGATCTAGCTTAAACTGATCATAGGGCACATTGTCAAAGACTAGAGTCTTCCATCTTATGAAAGATCCCTCTTCTTTTGGGAACCAGTGGTGATGAAGATTCAGTTTTGACAAATTTCTGGCTGAGAGTGAGATTTGTCCCGGTGATGTGGCATTTTTTTGTATGGTGGAAATTGCCCTCAAATGATATCTCTATGCTTATATGTTATAATAAATACAGTCTAGCAAGCACGGAGTGAACTTGTACGTTTGGAAACATATATATAGTGAACAGATTTTTAGGTCATGGATTTTTTCTAATCGATGGGTATCCTTTGTATTCAGATTAAGTACATAGCAAATCTTGTACATTATGAAAAGATTTCCACGCCCCACGGAATTTGTTATGTGCATGCCAGAGTGTATGTTTTTGACCGTACTAATTTCCCCTTTGTTTCTGTCTTGTTGTAACTAGCAAAGAGACTGATGGGAAGATCACTGTTGTGGAGCTGACTGGCTTCCAGAAGAGATACACCCCTGATAAGCATTATGTAAGTAGATTGGCTGTATAGTTCAGTTCTTTAGTTGTTTTTTAAAATTTGTGTCTATAAAGAAAACCCCGAGGTTTCTGATTTCTTTGAAAGTCTTTTTTTTTTCAGCTTTGTCGATGGTGTGCAGTAATCCCAGTTTATAACATTTGCTTGCATTTGCATTTCAGATTTTCCTCCTGAAGATCGAGAGAGAGAACCAGAAAGTCCCCATGTACGTCTTCCGTCATTTCCCAGAGTTTGTGGAGTTCAGGGACAAACTGGCTGAGATGTTCCCGCTAGTGACGTGGCCCAACTTCTCCACGAGGTACTGGGAAAGTGGTTGTCAGATGCTTACATGTTTGATGTGGTGATTGTCATATGTCAGTGCATTTTGCTATCCACCCATGGAGTATTCAGATACTTTCAAAAAAACTTTTAAAAAATTATTTTAATACACGTTTTAGACTTGATTTTTTACAATTTGCCAGAGTTTTAAAAATGTTGTTCCATATGGGGACAGCGAACTGCAATGATGATATGCTTTAACTTTTGATCCAGTAATTTCAATGATGTCAGCCACTGCACCATAATGTGGATATTGTTCAATAAAATATGCAAGAATATTATGGTTTTTTTTTATACCAAAACTATGTCAAAATGAGTTTAAATTCTGTCTTCAGTTAAGTCTTCTAAAATTGTTGTGTCTTTTTCTGTGCTTAGGATGCAATTGTGCACCTTTTCATAAAATAGTTATCATGTGTATGAAAAAAACTGTATGGTTTGAATTGTTGCTTGGAATGCAGTGTTGAGTTGAGAACCTTAAAGTGTGGTTAAAAACCAGTCCAGTCTTTCATGTGAAGTCTGTATGGGGATATTCCATTGACTTTTCTTTGATGCAGGTCATGTAGGCTACTGTGAAGCCTTGCCTGCCAACATGTTTACGATTCTTTTTTTGTGATGATGGGAAAGCTGTTTTTAAAGCTTGTTTTTTTTTTGCTGAGTGTCTTCCTGTACGCTATTGAGCATGTCCCTTGACCTTGAACTCTTGTACTTCTCCCAAAAGGAAAGTAGAAAGCAGAAAAAGATAACAGCAGTGACAGCAGAAATGGACTGAGCAATCAATATTGAAATTTCATGATCAGACTTTTTTTTCTTCTCTTATATAGACTTTATAAGCATAACAATTGTTAACATGTCACAATACATCTGTAGCCACGTAGAAGCACTCTTGTACATAGACTGTGTAGCATGGTGTATCAGAGTTCTGTTTTTTCTGTTGCCTTTATGTTGTTAAAAATCCACTGGGCCATAATGTTTTGTTCAATTATTGTTTCCGACAATTTCATACCTTTTTCATTTTTTCATTTGCTTTTTTTACTTCACAAAGAGTGGTGATTGGTCGCAGTAACATTCGGACAGTAGCTGAGAGCAGGAAGACAGAGATCAACAACTTTCTGCGGTACCTGTGGACCAAAGCTGTGGAAGTCTCTCAAGTATGTGGTTGTAGTTTGACCTGCTGTGGGTGGAAGTGAGCCTTGTGATACACCTGTCAGATTGTTGGGAACAGATAAGCTTTTTTGTGGGAAGATTAGTCTTTTTAGTGTTTGTTAAAATCAAAAGTTAAATCTTTATCTTTCAGGGGGATAAGCTCCTGATAAATTACATCCAGCAACATGAATGACAACAGTGTTTATTTGGTTTGCTGTACTTAAACGTCTGTTCGTATGAGAGAATAAACAGGAAGCTGGAATGTGATGAAAATGCAGTTGATTTGGAGGTCAAGAGGTTTTTTTATCCAGAGAGTACAGTATGTTGAAATCTCTTCACAGAAAAGATTGATATTAACGTCCATTTGTTTGTTCCACAGTGTGAGCTGGTGTACACGTTTTTCCATCCGCTGCTGAGGGACGAGCAAGAAGCAGAGAAGACTAAGCTGAACGTGACAAAGCTGCGAGGTAGCTTTTTATGACTTTTGTACAATAGGGTTCAAACTACTAATTAGTTCTACTTCCTTTTATTTTAGTGTCTTGTCTTTAAACTCCCTTTTTTGTTGAGAATTGTAAGGAAAACTTTTTTTTTTTATCATGAAGTGGCTGGCAGGTAGTTAAAATGGGGGGAGAAAAATTGCCTTTCTTGCATCAAAAGATGAGTAGGTCCTAGAAAAATATTTGATTCAATAACTGTTTTTGTAAATATAGGCTCCCGTATAATTGGGAAGGAGTATTGAAAAAAATTTCTGTTGTTTGTCTCGGTCCTGTGACAGAACCTCTTGTGCAGAGAACGACTAATGCAGGAAACAGTGGCATTCAAGGGGACATCAAATTGTCTGTCCAGTACAAGCGAGATGCCCTGCAGGTCATGGTCATGCACGTTAGAGGACTGGTAAGACACTAATCTGTTGAGAATCTTTGATGGGCAAAACTACGGCCTGCGGGGTAGATCCGGCCCTCAAGCAGTTTCAGTGTGGCATGCAAGTTCACCCAGTAATTAATAAAGAATTTGGCCCTTGGAGAGATGATGATTAATAAGAAGAAAACTGTCCGTCTTAACTATTAAAATCAATAGTTTCCAATCCAGCTGACGGCTATAGATCTTATATTTTATCCCATGAAATGTTCTTGAGTGACATATGCTGTAGTGTCAGTTTTAGCTTCACTTTTGAGAGTTTGGGTTTTTCAACCAATTATGCTCAATTTTCTCCAGTTTTGGCCCACATGAACCTGGCTTCTTGGAAGAGTTTTCAAGGCATTCTGCTGGTGTATATTAGGTCTATTTATAACCCTGAACTCACTTGGAGGAGAATTATAGGATGTTAACACAATTAGATAAAAACAGAATTATTCAAACTTTAAAATAATTTCAGAGTTTTCTGCTTAATTTATACTGATTTGATTTTACTATAAGACTAACTTTCCCCCCATCATTTCCCTGTTGTTGTTTTTTTTTTAGTCTGAGGGCTCCCAGCTGCCCAGCCCCTATGTGAAGACATACCTGCTACCTGACCCAGAGAAACAAACCAAGCTGAAAACGAAAATGGTGAAGAACACGAGCCATCCCACATACAATGAACTGGTAAGCTCTCGCGTCTCATTTTCTTACTGAAGTGGAGAGGAAGCATTTTTACAAGCCTCCAGGAGCAGGCTCAGTTATATTGTGAAAGTTTTGAATTTTAACATTTTAACTTTTTTTTTCTTTGTACTGCGTTTCCTTGTCCTGGACCTGAGAGCTGAGTGGATATCATAATGGGCTGTGGTGAAGATGGCCCTAGTTTGAATCCTCAGCAAGGCTTTCTTGAACCTGGGTTGTTTTGGGGGGAATTTTCAAGGTTCTCCACTCACTTAGTGGTTCCTATTGGAAATGGATGTTCAATTCAGAGGTCCCACCTCTTGAATAGATTAACTGTATTGAATGTGGCATTGGACCTGTACAACAACCGAAAAGCAGAAGGGCTCATTTGTCTTTAGTTAGGTGTTTGCTTCTCCTGCTGAATTGTTGTTCCTTGTTCTTGCAGGCATAGTCAGACCTGCCAAGTAATGATAAATATCAGAACTCTCTTATTTATTTTTGCCCCTTGAAGAAACCCGCTTGGATATGCATATTTTTTTTCTTCTTGAATTTCGTTTTTGTGGGGTCGTATGTGACTTATAGTAAATTGTGTAAACATACACATTTTTACTTGGGTTTATTTATGTGAATTTGCAATATAAAAATGTATTTTCTATGGTTGGCTTGTTATGTAATCTTATTCTGGAGACTGAGATTTTTTCCCAAGCTCCTATATTTTTAGAGCATTTCTAGGAAAAGTCTTATTTTTTTATCACAGAGTGGTTGACAAGTCTGCAGATTAGTTAGTTTTTTTCACAGTTTTCTAAAAAAAACTTTGAGTCTTGTCAGATCAGGATGAAAATCTTGGCAATCCAGTTATTGTTTGAAAATAGAAAAAGTTGGGCATGGCCTTGGCAGGCCAGTTGCCATAGCTTTTTTCTGAATTGATCCCCTCCCTAGTATTCAGATCCTTTGTGTGGGTGGTTAGTGGATGCTCTGGTGTGGTTTGCTCTTTCTTCCCTACCAAACATCTGTCACAGTTATAACTCCCTCTTTTTTGTGCTTTTTACTCACTTGTAACCTCTTTAATCTTGGACACTAATATGACCTAATTGTGTTACAAGTGCTATAAAACTGTTACTAAAACTTAAAGACCCTCTGTATCAACTTCTTGTGTGTCGTAAACATCTGCTTAGTCTCTCCCATCTGTCCTGTCCTGTACATGCCTTGTCCTTTGTGGTTTCCCCCAGCTCCAGTACCAGCTGCCTCAGCTAGAGATCTGCCACCGCATCCTCCAAGTGACTGTCTGGGACTACGACATGCTCAAGGAGAACAACTTCCTCGGAGCCGTCTACATCAAGCTGCGTGAGCTCGACCTGGCCAAAGACAACACCACCTGGCACAAGCTGGGTCGCATGCAGATGTAGCTTTTGACAGACGATCTTGCTGCTTTTTTTGCTGTCTCTATCTCATGTATAGTCAAGTCTTCCTCTCTCGTGCCACCGTGGGGATGTTTTGAAACAAACTTGAGAATGAAACAAGATGTGTTTCAAAACTACCTATTACGAGGCCAATTTCTTCTCCTGGCAGTTTTGTTGTTAGTTTCCTATGAATGAGATTATTTGCTTATAGCAGAAACTTGCCACCTTTTAATCAGTACATTTGGATCAATATTGTGTCTTTTCATATGGCTGTGCTTTCTTTTTATTTATTTCTACTCTGGGTTAATCAGAACAAGAGTCATAATATTAATTCCTGTTTCAATGCTCAGGAATTGTGAATGAACTGGTTACACCCTATGTAAAGCATAATGGAAAGTTTTTTTGTTGGAATTTGCCAGAGCTGATCATGACAATCATTTTAATGGCCATAGATTAATAGCTTGGTTATATCAGATGTGCACTTGGCCGCCACAATGAAACGTCTTGTGACTTTTAAGTGGTTTCTTCATAAATATTTATCATGCTATCTTGGGGAATGGTGAGGTGCAGGTTGATTTTTTTTTTCACTACGTAAAGGAATAAAGGGGGAAAAAGAGAATTTGATTTAGATTAGAATAAATCCATAACTGAAGCCAGTTTGTTCTGGTTACATGTGTTGTGGACATCAAATTTATCCCCAGCAGGAGCGTTTGCTGGACCCTGCTGACACTATCTAGTGATCTCAGTGGTAGACACGCTGTGTTTGATTATGCTGACGGACTGCAGTATAAAGGCAAATGATGAAAAAGGTTAGCTCTGTCAATAGATAGTGATGCTCAGAAGAATTTAAACAGGAAAATAGCAAAATTAGATTGGGGTGTTGGGGGGGGGGGTCCTCATAGGAAGCTGTTATTAAACGTGACTATAACAAGTTTAGAAAAATTTCTATAAATGCATTTCGGTATAATTCCTATGCTTCGATTGTCTTTGGTCAAAGTTGAAGGCTTAGGCTATCCACTAACCTGCTTCTGGTCTCATAAACGGATGGGGGTAAATGGACACCCATAGCTTTACTAATTAAGTGTCCTGTTTGTCTCGATCTACGCTTGTAGTGTCAGCTCAGCTTGTTTATGATGATGTCTCACGGACACAGTAAAACATACATTCACCCCTCAAAAACATCTTATGTATCAGTTATCCATTGTGTCTGAGGGATACAGACATCATCAATGTCTGGAAAAATATAAGAAATAAACTGTATGTTATAATTTGATCTGTTTCAAGTGTTTTTCACTTCTGATTAAGTCAAAGGCATTTTACAGCTTGAACAGTGCTGTTTTTGTGCAAGAATTTTGAAAGTTGTAATTGATCACTTATTTTTCCTTTAAATCTGACAAATATCACTTCATGATACCAATGATAGTACATAACAAGATGGGCCACTTCTCTCTTTGAGCCAATTAAAAAAGTGTCCTCAAAATTTGGTGGCGCCCTCTTCACAAAAGCGCACTCTTTGCGAACAGAGTTACCCTACTTGAGTTTTAAAAAATCAAAGTGAAACTAGCAAGTTTTGGGATAAATTTCGGAAGAACGCTTTTTAAAAATGGTTACGCTGACAAAAAACCTCTTCCGGAGGAAAAGGAGATGGTTTTCTTCGTTTAATTTGACTTTAGAATGAAGGGCGAGAGGTCATTAAAATAAAAAAAACCCTAAAACTCCGCACTGAACGTACCCGAACTGCTGATGAACAGCAGTCGATCTGCGCACGCAAGGAGGTGCTATTCCTATTCTTCTTCTGGAAAAACGAAGGAGAGCTTCAAAACAGACTGCAGCGCCATCTGAAGCAAAGAGCATACTTCCTGCGGACACTTTTTTGGCTGAGTGGCCCATCTTGTCTTGTACTATCTTTGATGACACTTCTTCTGAAAGACTTCCCTTTTCTCAGGTTTATTTTTTCCCCTTCCTATTTGGCAGTTATATCAAAGATAGTACATAACAAGATGGGCCACTTCTCTCTTTGAGCCAATTAAAAAAGTGTCCTCAAAATTTGGTGGCGCCCTCTTCACAAAAGCGCACTCTTTGCGAACAGAGTTACCCTACTTGAGTTTTACAAAATCAAAGTGAAACTAGCATTTTTTGGGATAAATTTCTGAAGAACGCTTTTTTAAAATGTTTACGCTGACAAAAAACCTCTTCCGGAGGAAAGGGTGATGGGTTTTTTCGTTTAATTTGACTTTAGAATGAAAGGCAAGAGGTCATTAAAATAACAAAAATCCTAAAACTCCGCACTGAACGAACCCGAACTGCTGATGAACAGCAGTCGCGATCTGCGCACGCAAGGAGGTGCTATTCCTATTCTTCTTCTGGAAAAACGAAAGAGAGCTTCAAAACAGACTGCAGCGCCATCTGAAGCAAAGAGCATACTTCCTGCGGACACTTTTTTGGCTGAGTGGGCCATCTTGTTATTTACTATCTTTGGTTATATGTGAATTGTTGACAATTGTTGGTCACGTGCTCACCTTGCTCTAGATGGGAGCAGTTTTCTGTAGATGTGAGTACAACGCGTTTTTGATGTTTTCCCACAATTCTTCGTTTATTTTGTAGTGAATACTAAGCCTGCCTTTTCTATTTCGCTTCTCACTAAGGACAAATGTGTAGCCTATACACATGTTTTCAGTGTGATTTATTAATTATAATTCAGTTCTATCTTTCATTCTTCTTCTTTTCTTTATATTTCACTCTATACCATGCCTCAACCAACCTTAGTTTTCTTCACCACCACCACCCCCCCCCCCCCCACACACACACACATACACAGACACACAGACATATTTTGTTGTTTTCTATATTTGTTAGACTTTGCAGAATTCCCATAGCTGAACTTTGTAGGGGCGACTTTCGTGACCCAACTATACTTGTCCGTTGTTAACTTGTAGGAACTGTTAATCTTGTTTTGATTGCACTTGTACTATGACAAAGGTGTGAAGAAGAAATGTTAATATCATCAGTGCATATCAGTATTTTATTAAGCCTAAATCAAGAGGGAAACAATTTTGTGAAGAGTGAAATTTACCTTATTTTGAAAAGAAATGCAAAAAGCAAAAATCAGTCCAAAGTAAAATCTTGTTTAAAATCCAATCTCTTTTCTCCTACGTGTAAAGATTAAATAATGGTAGATATAGGCTTTTCAGTATTTAAAAAAAACAACTCTCCGGTGCAAGATGCCTGTGTAAAGGGCGTGCTCTGAAAAAAAAAAAAGGTTAGTTTTTAAGTTAGTTAGAATTTGGCATTGCAATGCATGTTCTTCTTTTTACCCTGTTCACCACTTTATCCTGGTTTGTGGGAAAATTTTATTTTGAATAATGCTTTAGAACCCCCAGTAACATTTGATTTTGATGTGCTCAAACTATGAGTATTTAGTAGAGTTGTGTTTGTGTAAAATACTTTATCCTTTTGTAGAAATAATATGTTCATTTTGTGAGCTGTGGTTTAAATATTTCCTGTGGGTGCTAGGTGAAAATAATTCAGTAGAGCTGTTCCTAGGTGTTACATATCTAACATATCGATCTATTTTGTTATATGGGCATTTTTTTTTCAGTGATAATATATTCTGTGACCAACCATGTGTGACTGTGTTTCTTCTCTACCTGTAAATGTGTCACGCCGCAGTGGAATCAGGCGCTTGTCAATTTTGTTTTAGGCAGGTGGAGTTATTGGTATAATCTTAAAGCTTGTTCATTTGCTTTGCTTGTGATGGAAAAAGTATTTATTTATCTTTTGTACGAGTCAAGATACTGGCGATTGAAGGAGGTGTGGGTTGCCTTGTTTCAGAGATAAAAATTAGCGAGAAAGGTGCGTTATTTCCTTAGTTTGAGACTCTGTGGAAACTGAGAAACTGAAAATTTACATATTTTATGCCTTTAATCAGCGTTTTAAAGTAAAATCTAGACAAAAATGTCTTCTTTAATGAGCATGAAAGCTTATTGAGCCAAAAAAACATAAATTTGATAAAACTTCCACACTTTGACTTGATTATTTTGACGAACGCCTGATTTCACCATGCTGCCTCACAAATGTTTGTTGGGAGACTCAGTCCTTCTTCAACTGCAGTAAATTTTGGGTAATTGTAGTCTTTTTGGGCTGAAAAAGATGTGTCTGTTGTAGCCATGGTAGACAAGATGGTTGACCTGAGAAACACTGGAACACAAAAATGTGATGCATCATAGTGAAATCAGGCGCTTTTCAAAATAATGAAATAAACTAAATCAGCATTTTATGGCTGTTGGGCAATTTTTTTTCAATTTTTCCTTTTTGCCTCAATACCTTTTATGTCCTTTTAAAAACACATTTTGTGTAGATTTTACTGAAAATAAATGATGAAAGGCATACTAAATGTAAATGTGCAGTTTCCAAGGACTCAAGCTTTGAAAGTCACTAAACTTTGGCGGCCATTTCTCGCTAATTTTTTTCTCGGACACAAGATGACACCACCTCCTTCAATCCTGAATATCTCTACTTCTGTTCATGATAGATGGATTCCGGTATTTCATTCATCAAAATCAAGATAAATGAACAAGCTTTGACTCATTCGCTACGTATTGTTTTCGACTTGTGGACGAATTTTTCACGGGAGTGCGAAATGAGATGGTGACTAGTGCGCAGTTAACAGGTCTTTGGGGCCACAAATTCAAATAAATATCAACATATTATGTACCAAAATTTTCAGTACGGTTTGTAGAATACATCTGTATTGTTTATTTGTGTAATTTTCAACTTTGGTTACTGTAAGAGGCGATTATGCAACACAGTTTTGCTTGGATGTGGATCCAATTTGAAATAAAAAATTAATAATCTTTGTTGAAACTCAAAAAATATGTTTGCACCTAGTCAATTGATACATCAAAATAACCATAAATGAACAGGCCCTATAGAACTAGAAAATATTGAAAAATTTGCAGTTATTTACTTACATTCCATGAAATTTGTGCGTTTGGATCATAACATCTGATATTGAAAAACAAATAATTGTTTTTATAGTCTTGGAAAAAGGACAAGATGCATTCACAAACAGAAAAATAAAAACTCGTATCTTAGATGGAATTATTCAGAAATGCATTTGGAATAAACCTATACATGTCTTGAGTGGTATTTTTTTATGTAATTTCACCCAAAAATAGTGATTTTGGGGAGAAAAAAAATATTTTGACAATTTAGATGTAGACCTAAATCTAGCACTGAAAAATAGTGATTTCTCAATAACAGATCACTGGCAATTTGAGTCCAATAGTAGGGCCTATCAATATTCTGAAGAAGATGCATACATCATTTCTTTAGTGATAAAAGAAAGTCGCAAAAACTTTGAAATCGCGTTTCAAAACTGAATCTAAACTGCCGATTTTTGGTGGAAATGCTTGACCCAGAAGTCAACGTTATATTATAAACTTTATTGTAACATGGATATGTGGATTGGAATAAAATCTAAGCTAGAATTATATGTTGGTTCTTGAGCCATCGGGGCGGTTTGACGTAGCGAAGTCACTTTTGCCACGGCTCGACATAGCGAATTGTTTAAGATGATACCAATAACTCCATATACCCAAAAACTGACGAGCCCTTGGTGCCATTACATTACAACACAAATGTGTCACAACGCAGTGGAATCAGGTGCTCGTCAATTTTGGTATCATCTTAGAGCCTGTCCATTTGCCTAGCTTTTGATGAAAAAAATATCCATTTATCTTAGATCAGATACAAGTCAAGATATTGGTGACTGAAGGAGGTGGGGTCGCCTTGTTTCAGAGGTTAGATTAGCGAGAAAATGGCTGTCAAAGTTTAGTTATATTTCCTTAGTTTGAGAGTTCATGGAAACTGAACATTTACAGAATTTTTGCTGTAATCAAAGTTTTTCAGGAAAATCCACTCAGAAATGTTTTTTAAAGGGCATGAAAGGTGTTGAGCCAAAAAACAAAAATTCAATAAAAATTCCTAACCTGCTGAAATATGTCAGTTTCTTGACTTTCATTATTTTGACAAGTGCCTGATTTCACCACGTTGCCCCACAAATATACTTTGTAGCCAGTTGCTGTATTTATGTGTGGAGTACTTTAAAGATTTACTGTTCAGGGTGTCCCTAAAGTCAAGACACATAGCATGGGAAGAGTGGTCATTTTAGACAGCTTCATAATAAGATTGAAAAAAACTCAAGGGGGGATGGGTTTATTTGTACAGATGATTGTCTTTGAGGGGTGGTTGCTGGGATAGGTTTGACTGT